AAATGAAATAGATATTCAAGATTATGATTATAAAAACTCCGTTATAATCTAACCCATCCAACAATAAAAAGAGGATATCTTTATTTTTAATTCGGGGATAAAAATGGATGGGGATAAAAAAATAATAGATAAATGTATGAGAAGGATGAAATTAAATTAAAAAAAAGTTGTAAGACATTAATTAATTGAGAAGAAAATGATAAGGGACAAATTGGGAAAAAAAACTAAACTAAATGGGATCAATGTATAAAATTAAAAAATTAGGCTATATAAATAGCTACTTTTCTTCTCTTTGCAGCTGGTTTTAAAGCTGAGGAGGGGGTTTAATATTTCTTTCAAATTATTTCTAAATTCATTCCAAAAATAGAGAAATTAAGTGTAATTAGAGAAGTTGAGATATATTTAGGGATCAAAAGGGGTGATTAAGGAATTATAGAGTTATTTTGAAATGAAAAAAAAAAATCAAAAGCTAGGGTTTAAGGAGAAGGAGAAGATTACTTAGGGTTTTCCTGCATTCCTCCTTGAAACATTCTTCCATTGAAATAATGGACATATTACATGTAATTAAGTGTTATAATTTAATGTTTTGGTGAGGAAATGCAATTATTTATATTATTTAAAATTAGAGATTTATTTTGTAAATTATGTAATGATGAAATTTATGACTTGTTGATGATTATAAGCATGTGTTAAGATTAGGTAATTGATTAATTTTTTTTATAAAAAGGAAAGAAACAAACTCCTTCCTGTTAGTGGTCACTTTTGGCCAAGGGGAAGAAATGGGAAAGAAATTTAAAAAATTATATAACTAACTAAAATTATGCTAAATAGCATGTGTATAAATGTAAATGGAGAGTAAAAATAAAAAAATTTAAAGTGAGAGAAAGAAATCCTTCCATACCCTTTCCATTAATTTCAACCAAGATTAGCATATAAGAGAGGGTGAGATCCTTCCATACCCTTTCCATTGATTTCAACCAAGATTACCAAAAAAGAGAGGGTTGAGCTTTGTCCTTGACAACGAGGTAAACATATTTATTTAGCATTAATTAATGTGTTCTATGATGATGATGATGATGATGATAATAATAATAATAATAATCAATAAAAAATTGTATCTCCTGACAAATAAGAAATTCAGTTAAGCATGTGGTAGAATATCAAATAAAAAAATACAAGAATCATATTGAGTTATATTAATTTTAAATTGAAAATTTCATATAAAAAAAATTAATTCTTATGGTGAATAAACAATTATTGATTCATTAATGTTGGTAATATAAGTGAGTCTATGAAGTTAAACCAGCAGCAAAGAACTAGACAACGAGGTAAACATATTTATTTAGCATTAATTAATGTGTTCTATGATGATGATGATGATGATGATAATAATAATAATAATAATCAATAAAAAATTGTATCTCCTGACAAATAAGAAATTCAGTTAAGCATGTGGTAGAATATCAAATAAAAAAATACAAGAATCATATTGAGTTATATTAATTTTAAATTGAAAATTTTATATGAAAAAAAAATTAATTCTTATGGTGAATGGACAATTAGTGATTCATTAATCTTGGTAATATAAGTGAGTCTATAAAGTTAAACCAGCAGCAAAGAACTAGACAAGCGCACAAGCATAAGGTAAGTTTTCAACACCTTAAAATAATTTATAGTTTATTTCAATAATTCTATAAGGAATTTCTTTTAATTGTAATTTTAGTGTAAACTTGTGAAATAAAAAGGACACAAATAATATCCTTTTGAATCGGCGTGATGAAAGATTATTTCTTAGTTACTGAAAATAATACCATGTTGAATGAGCATGTCAAAAGATTATTTCTTAATTAATAAAAATAATGCTCTCTTGAATGGACATGTCAAAAGATTTTTTTTTTGTCAAAGAAAATAATATCATGTTTAATGAGCGAATCAAATGTTATTTATTGACTAATAAACTAGCTAAGAATGTTATTTCTTAATTAATAAAAATGATACTTAGTTAAGGATTGGTATTGACGTGAACATATTGATGATAAGTTGCTTCATTAAATGATACAATTAAAGTATTATTGAGTATGAATTAAATAATTTTTTTTTGTTTATTTACTGTGAAGTGTTAATTTAATTAATGAATTGAATTTAATGCAATGAATCTTACTTAATGTATATATATCATACAAATATTTTGCTAAATACCTCGCACTCTCGAGCTCAAAATGAGATGCATAGATAAAAGTCTAGATAAAAGTCTTTTATTAAATTAATTATGTATTTGGAGGAATTAATATTTTATTATTATGTAACCTTTTTGTGTTGAAGAATTTAAATATTTAAAGAATTTAAATATTTAAATTATCTTTTGTAGACAATGTAATTATAGATATTGTCCTTATTAAGTTAACATATAATTTTGTTGTATGCTAGATTAAACTATCTATTTTCTTAAGAAATTGATGCTTGTTGAGAACTAATTAGTTTTAAAATTTTGTTATATGGAATATTATAATGAGTTGTGAAGTTAAGTATAATGGGATGGGCATTTATGATTGCTATTTGCAAGTTGAGAAATTCTTTGAGTTCATAATTTGGTATTAAAAATATAAAGAGGACCTTGTCAAAAATTTAATATTAAAAAATTTATATCAAATAAAATCAACACATATGTGTGCAAATATGTTTTTTTTATTTTATTTTTATAGACATAACCTTATATAAAATAGGAAAAAACCATTCATTAAGTTTATTTCTCAACCAATTTAACATCAAATGATGAAATTAAAAAATTATTTTTTCAATTACTATCAATATTAAGTAAAAGACAGAATTTCCTTTAAGATCATGATTAAGTCGTTGAAGTCAAGCTTTAAGAGTGAATTCTTTTTTTATATAAGAAAAATAATCCTAGTATTGTTTTGCTTTTAAACAGATTTTGATTATTTAAATTTGCAAAAAAAAAAAAACAAATAGTATTAACCTCAAACAATCAAAAAATGGCTAGAATAATATTAACCTCAAACAATCAAAAAATGGCTAATCTACAAAAATTGAAAAAGGTCAAGTATAAAAAGTATTGTAGGAAAAAACAGCAAAGTTTTTGTATCAATCCATAATAATTGATTCAGATAAATATTTTAAACTTAAGTTAATATTTTAAATTTATAGCTCATGAAATTACATATCTAATAATTAAAAAATATAATTTTCAATCAATTTAATATTAAAGAATAAAATTTGAAAAGAATCTCCAAATTAAAATACTTACCAAACCCAAAAAAAAACAATGATAAAATTTTTAGCATCAACTATAAAAGAAGAAAAAATCAAGAAGGTGAAGTCAGATTCAAAAACAATTTTAAATAAAAAAAATAAGGACCGAATGTAATAGCTAAAAAATTAAAAGATAATAAAATTGAAAACATAATCAAATTTGAGAAACTCATTAAAATAAAACAAATAAAAATAAAATAAAGGAGGAATGAAATCAAAACAACAAATAACTTGAAGGGCTGATCTGCAAATTTGAAGGGTTGGATATGGATTTTCAGGAGGAAAGAAAAAAGAAAAGAACAACAGCAACGTGGATCTATTAGTTTGGATCTATCAATCACACGCGTCATAAAGAGAGGAAAGGGAGACCAAGACGAATTGAATGATATGATAGAATAATAATTTCAACCATTGACATTAATCTCATACACCACTTAAAGACAATAAAGTGTCTAACATATTCGTGCATGTAATGCATGAATTAATAACTTTTATTTTTTATATAATTTATGAAAATACCACATTTCTTCTATAGCCAAAAAATTATTATAAAAAAATCATTGTGAATTAATAACAAGCCCTTTTAGTTAAGCTTTTAAAAATTTGATTCTAAAGAGAAGAAAATCATTACATCATAGGAAAAAAATATAAAATACCAAAAAACACCCTAGACCTAGTTTTTTTTTTGTGTATAAGGGCAGTAATATTTCTCTACAATACTCATGACCTAGTTTTTTTTTTTTGGTGTATAAGGGCAGTAATATTTCTCTACAAAATAATAATAAATAGACTTAGATGTCTCTGAACAATCTTAAAATGACAAATGAATTAAGAAAGAAAACATTTTTACTCTTTAAAAAGCAGTTTAATGTAAAAAAAAAAAATCATCAATTTACTATTCCCATAATAAAAAAGACATGTATAATACCTTTTCCATATTATTAATAATTTTTTAAATATGTTTGTTTAGGTAAAACTCCTAAGGTTAATTTATTTGGTGTGAATTAGGGTTATAATCCATTTGTTTATGCAGTCAACCGCGGCACAACACATACACACAATTAATGGTGGGAGACATCTATGCACCCTCTCTTTTATCTTTTAAAAGTCTCTATTAATTTTTATGGATCCTTCCATCAATTGTTCTTACCAATACAATTAAATAACATATAATATTATGCAAAACAAATGTTACAACTTTTAAACAGACAGACCTACTTAACTTCGCTCAACTCTTATCTAGTTCATTAACTAATTTAAATTGCTTGATTAATTTTGATCAAGTTTAAGGTATGATATGCATGGATTTAATTGAAAAATAATCAAGGATTAAATTATAATTTACTATAAAATATAAGGCAAAAAAATTCATGCCTTAATAAGTCATCGTTTAAACTTCATGCTTTAAGATAAGTTTAAAATTACATACCATATATCTAACACTCTCAAGTCTAAAAAGAAAATAAATAAATTAAATTTATAATTGTAAAATATAAACAAATGAGGTTAGATACACTTATGATTCAAATCCGAGCCAACTATATGCATGAACACTGCTAATCATACACGTATGATATTAAGACAAAATTAGTAGAAGGACCTTTAAACTACAAAAGAAAGAATACAAGGACGTAAAGAAAGAATGCAGGGACGAACCACACCATTAACGCATATGAATTACATATTTACGAAACAAAAAAGTGGGTGTCTGCGTTCTGAAAAGTAAATAATAAATCAAGCTTAAAAGCATAATTAACAACTATTGTAACTCGAAAGTAAGCTTTACAGAACCAAAATGTCTCAAAAAGACGAGTGACTCAAATGGTTTCGTCAGCATAATTAACTAGCAAGCTTGAAAGCATCAATGAAGAGGCCATAAGTGAATCCCATCTTGAAATTGTTGAGAAGAGCAATGGGGAAGGTTACCTTCGGCCGGCTGTAATAAAACCTGGTCACATACTCCGTTAATAAAACACATACCACAGCAGCGATCACATCATTTACTCCTAATGCTCCAAATGACAGAGAAATTGTTTGTGCCACATAAAAGCCACCTAACAAGGAAATTCCCCCAAAGAGAGCCCTCCTTGATGGCCTACGAAAATAGTTCCTCGAGAGCTCGGGAATGGTTCTGATGATATCAATTAGCCTTCGAGGCCCTTCATTCTCTTGCACAGCTCGGATCCTGAGGCGGCGGGTTGAGGATCTGAAAACAGAAGTTCCATATTTTATACTGGAAACTCTTCTCTGAGGAGCAAACCCCAATTTGAGGGGGCACGTTGTGATCAAACTCACATACTGTGCCATTATATAGTATGCTGTTGAATTGTCAATCAGAATACATATCCTGGAAAGTAAAACAGTTTGCCAGTGAGGCCTTGAAATGCATGAGATCTTTCCAGCAAAGGAAAACAAACAAACACATGCAAAAATAGAGAGGTGCAGTCATTCCTTACCCTCTTTGTTGAGGAAAAAAGTGGGAACATAAAAACTTTTAAGGCCTTACGAGGGGAAAAAATGTCTTGTTGGATCAAAACTAGGGAAAAATTGAAAACAGGATTCGGGTCCTTATGATGTCATATCCACTAAATGGACTAAGTAAGAATTGACTTACTATCAAGATTGAATTGAAAGTCTTAAGTAGGTGATGATTCTAATCTTAAAGTCGTCCATGCTGCAGAATACAAAAGCTTGAAGATGGGTTTGAAGGAGGTGCTTTCAAGTATGTGATGTGATCATAAATGATTATTTCGCATTAAGTTAAGGATTTTCAAGAGATTCCTCATTGCTGCAGAATACAAAAGCTTGAAGATGGGTTTGAAGGAGGTGGTTTCAAGTATGTGATGTGATCATAAATGATTATTTCGCATTAAGTTAAGGATTTTCAAGAGATTCCTCATTCTCGGTTAATCTATTTGAAAATATGGGGCTTCGTTCATGCTGAGAATGTCAACAGAGAACAAAAATGTCTTGGTGGATTTACTTTTCAAAACCAATTATGTCCAAACGTTAAATAGTCTCATAATCAATATTGATGGAATTTGTTTTGTAGAAGAGTGGTTCTGTCACTAAGACCTAGACACTGTGCTCATAAAATCCTGCTCCAATTTGATAGCAAAATTCTAAGCACCATATCCCAATAAAATTCTAAACCACAGATCTAATTTTAGTTTAAATGGAATCTGGCGCATAAACACAAAAAGAAATCACAAAAAAAAAAAACACAAACACAAACAATAAGCAACAAGCAATTACAGCATCTATATGGCAATTACTAAACTAATCCCAATCATTCTATTCAGTAGCTATGACTTGAAGGAAAAATTGCTGAATCAAAATTTCTTTTCTCCTTCCACCGTTTTCTAAAAAAACAACCACAGAAGAAGATTTTAAAGACAGCATAACAAAAAAGAATCAAACTAGAAAAGGGAAAGAACCCACGTAGTAGAATTCATTGCATAAGCATAAAAACCAGAACTTGAGGAATAAGAGGTACCAAACTTGAGAAAAGAATCAAACTTTACGATGAAGAGAGAGAATACAGAAATGGGTTTACCTAAAAATCCAAGACCAGAGGCTTTTCGAGCTCCATTACTGCGTTTCTCTATTCACCAGGGGTACCAAATTGGCTGAACGAGTGTGGGAGAGACTTGAGTAGCCAAAATGGTAAATCTCACATCAATCCCGTAAAGCTAAGATAATTATGACTTTAGTCCTCGCACAAACGATTTTCTGAATTAGATCCTAACATATGATGCATGTCAATGGCTTTTGAGCTCTAAGTAATAGGGATAATAATTTCACCTGATTCAGTAAGCAACCGATGTTGTATCATTTATCTAGTTGACTGCAACTAGCCTTCGCCCAGTTTCACATATAACGTGTCTTTTTACCTATTTTTATCATGACATCTATATTTAATAAAAAATTCCCTCATTTATAGTTGACGGATTGTCTTGGAGTTCAACTGGTTTTTATCATGACATATATATATATATATATATATATATATATGTTTATTTTTAATATTTATCTATTTTTTATTTGGTTTTTTATCAGAAAATTTCCAAAAATTTTAGTTATCGAAAGAGCTGATTTACTAATGTTATTTTATTTCTAATTTTTATTTTTATAATTATTAATTAACCTACTAAGTTAAGGAATCTTATTAAAAATTAAATTGACTGCATTTAACTTAGGGAATGCTATTGAATTTTAAATGAACTACAAGTAATCATTTTCATTGATAATTATTGGTTAAGAATAATTAAATTGATTACAACTAATCATTTTCATTAATGATTATCATAATTCTTAATGAAACTTAATTTGACGAGCAAGGAAATCCTATTGAATTTTAAATTAACTACAACTAATTATTTCTAATGATAATTATCATATTTCTTAATTAACTTACAAGAAGATTTAAATTGACTACAATTAATTATTTTCATTAATAATTATCGTAATTATCAATTAATCTAGTAAATTAAGAAATTTTATTGAGATTTAAATTGATTCCTATGAAGAAATTAATTTCGAACTTATCAAATCCTTAACAGTTCCAGTTCATGCCCATTGAGAATCTTTAGGAATCCTATTTTATATAATCTCCGTGGAGTCAAAAGAAAGTATGGATACCTATTACCAAAAGAAAATATGAATTGAGTTGCTCGAGATGAATAGGTTATTTAAGCTCGATACTATCAAGAATTGAGTATTATTTTAAAATTAAGTATTACAGTGGGTTTTTTATTACATAAAGTTCTACTTGTTATTTTCTCATACATTATTGTGGTGAGTTGTGTAAATTTCTTTTTTCATCTGTTTTTTTAATTTTTTTTAGTGATTTAGTTCTCATTGATAACCAATTAATTTTAATTTTTTATAAAAATATAAATTCTTTTAAAAAGTAATTAAAATAAAAAAAATCAAACATAAATCCTATAAGTTTCATAAAAAATATAGTTTAATTTTTAAAAATCAAGTAATTTTGATAATTTCAGCAACTCAATATTTTTTTAATTTAATTTAAATATAAAAATTTATTTATATTTATTTTTAGTTCATAGTTGAAAGAAATTATCAGATTCCGACAATAAAAATAGAAAATTATTATTAACATAAATTTATGCCACAAAAACAAATGATATTTGTGTTAAATAGTTTCATTTGAAGATTCATATTAAGTGTGTTTTCCCTTCAAAAACTGTGAAAAAAAAAACTCAAGTTGATTTTAATTTTTGGGGTTTTAAAGCTATAAATAAATTTATCACAGCTTTTACAGTATTTTATAGATGTTCTAAGTAAAAAAATAGGTTAGAAAATAAGTTTCTGGGTAAAAAAAATTAAATCTTGATTTTCTAGCCACCAGAGTTAACAAAATCTAAAAACACGTTGTTTATTTTTTTTTAAAAAATTAGAACAGACAATATGTTACAAAATAATAATTAAAACCTGATCACGCGAGCCCATGAGGCCCAAGGAGCCTGACTTTCGCTCTTTTTTTTGGTATTTTTTAAAATTAATGATTATTTTTTTATGTTTTTTTAAATTAATGATTAGTATTCCTTCTTGTTTTTTGGAGATTTTCTTTTAAATGAGAGATATTTTTTTAATTATGTTTTTAAATTTGAAGAGTTTTTTATTTATTTATAATTTTTTATCTTTTATATTAATGAAATTTATTTTTTAAAATAAAAATTTTATTCTCATATGATATTTCTAATATATTTAGTATTACATGATTTTTTTCTATTTTATTTTATTTGATTAATTTAATATATATCTCTGTTTTTATTATTATTTGATTAAGTAAAAAATAAATTTAATAAATATAACTATATAAATATTTTATCTTTTAAAATTAAATATTTTTATATATAATTTTTTTATACAAAATAAAAATATCTAACATCCAATAAAACCCAGCTGCTTTCTAACTAAACCGCGTAATTTATTGAATTGTTTCCTTTTGAAAAAAAATGTAATCTTACCTAACAACTTACTAACTATATTTTTTATTTTATTTTTTTTGTGCTAAAAAAAAAAGTGGCATTGATGACGAAAGTTATTCAGTGGACAAAAGTGCTATGATGTGGACTGGCTTCTGTTTCCAAAAAGAAATATCGTACAGCAATTGATGGCCAGCTGTCATGGTTTAACAAAATCTTCAAGGCCGAGGAATCCATTAGACAAAATATAAGAGCCATGTTTTCGTTATTCAAAAACAGTTTTTTAAAAGTTTATTTTTTTTAATATTTTTAAATTATTTCATTACAGTGATATAAAATATAGATTTTAAAAATTTTTCTTTTTATTTTAATATGTATGTTTTAAAATTTTAAAAAATAAATTACTCTTGAGAATTTGTTTGATACCTTTTAAAACATTTATTTTAAAAAATACATTAAAAAATATTTTTTTATATTTTTTAAAATTCATTTTTATAACATAAAATCAAAATATATTTTTAAAAAAATTAATTTAAATAAAAATAAAAATATTAAATTTTTATAAAAATATCTTTAAAATAAAATAAAATAAAGATGATCCAAATAAAAGCGAACAGCAGATTGAGATAGGGAGACAGAGAGAAAGAGGCGCTCTATCTTGTCTTGAAGAGCTCAAAGACCCCCCCTGCTCCAACTGTCTCAATCTCTCTCTAACCACGAACCCCACCTCTCTTTATATTTTTTAAGACGAGTATGTGTAGCTGGTTATGGGATTTTTTTAGGATCTGATTTCGGGGTGTCTTGCTTTGAGGTATAAAACAATGGGTTGGTTTTAAATTTTGATCTTTTTTGTGTGTTTTTGGGGGTATAGCTGATGGGTTACTCTAGGATTTTAACATACTGCACTAAAGGTTGGGACTTTTTTAGTGTTTGAATGGAATGTGTGATAAATGAGAGGGTTTACTTGAGTGGGGTGCTTTTTTCCTTAATGTATTTGTGGAAAAAGTTGGTATCTTGGGGTCTGAATTTTGTTATTTTTTATGTTGTTCCAGATCTAGTTGATCAAGGTGAGATTGGAAGAAGTTACTAGGTGAGATGTCAAGGTTTTGCCTTTATTGAGGATTTTGTTTGGGATTTCTAGTAATGTTAAGACCATACTCAGCATCGTATCAGTCACGGTAAGGGTCACTGTCACCTTTCAAGAAGCGGTCATAAGAATTGTTCTGTTAGGATTTTGACCTATATTCTGGTTTTTGTAACTTGAGAGGAAAACATCAAGGCTTTTGACTTAAACAGCTCTTGCGAAAAAAAAGGGGTTTGGTGGTTTTGAAGTTGATTGAATTGTATGCTGGGATTCTGACTGGTATTTTGGGGTCTGGTGGGGGGAGATAGAACTTGGAATGGCTGTTGGCAAGAGCAACAGCAGCCATGAACCCTTGAAGCAACCCTGCAATTGTTATAGAGTTTCAAGCTTGATTGAAAGCATTTTGGACACAGACCAGACCTCTAATATGAAAGATAGGTATGTTCTTGGAGAACAATTAGGTTGGGGTCAGTTTGGTGTAATTAGAGTGTGCACTGACAAGTTGACTGGAGAGGTACTGGCTTGCAAATCGATTTCTAAGGATAGGCTGGTGACATCTGATGATGCAAGGAGTGTCAAGCTGGAGATTGAAATAATGACCAGGTTATCTGGGCATGCTAATGTTGTGGATCTCAAGGCAGTTTATGAGGATGAGGATTATGTTCACTTGGTAATGGAACTTTGTGCTGGAGGGGAGCTTTTTCAACAGTTAGAAAAACATGGCCGTTTCTCCGAGGCTGAGGCTAGGGATCTCTTCAAGCATCTTATGCAAGTGGTTCAATATTGTCATGAAAATGGAGTGGTTCACAGGGATTTGAAGCCAGAGAATATCCTTTTAGCTTCAAAATCCTCATCATCACCTATAAAATTGGCAGATTTTGGCCTTGCAACCTATGTCAAGCCTGGTATATTTTCTCATTTCATATCTTTTTTCTTTTGTTCACCATTTATTTGTCATATTGCCTATTTTCTCTTGGAAAGCTTGAGTTTTCTAACAGAATAATAAATATTTGGATCTGCTCAAACAGGTCAGAGTTTGCGTGGGATTGTCGGGAGCCCATTTTATATAGCTCCTGAGGTCTTGGCAGGAGGCTATAACCAGGCTGCTGATGTTTGGAGTGCAGGGGTGATTCTCTATATTCTTCTTAGCGGGATGCCACCATTTTGGGGTAAGACCAAGTCAAGGATATTTGATGCTGTGAGGGCGGCTGATTTGAGGTTTCCTTCAAATCCTTGGGATCACATAACTCAATCTGCGAAGGAGTTGGTCAGGGGTATGCTTTGCACAGATCCCTCAGAAAGGTTTACTGCGCAGCAGGTTTTAGGTGGGTTCAGTTTCAAATTTTACTTTGTGGATATGTGTTCCTTAGTTTCTTTTATAGTTTCATCCAATCAACCTGTTCTATGATCTGATTAGGTGTTGGGATTGTAGATGATTCCTGTAGATGGTTATACATTATTTGTTCGTTTCTAGAACTACATGAATTTCTTGAAAAGTATCACTTCCAGTTAGAAGAATCTAAAGTCTTATTCATTGTACGTACTAAATTATGTATAGAAATCTTGATCACAAGAGAATGGAATTTGGCTGAGATTTCAAAAGCCAAGGCAGGCTCCACTCCCTA